GAGACAATCCGGGCAGCCTGCTATTTAGGTTGGCTAAAAAAAAAAAAAGCAACTGAAAGGAAAGCAGGTCTGGTTGAAAGGTGCTGCTGCCAGCCACCTCACATGGAGAATGCACCCAGCTCTCTTGAATATGCAGAAATATGCAAATGGATGTGCTTGCCAAGCATCCTGGATCCATTCGTTCGGCTAGGAAGCTTTGCCCTGCCTTAGGACTGGATCCGTGGTCTCCTTTTGAGGAGGAGGAGGAGAGCAAGGGTGACCCTAAGAAAGAGCCTTGCGTTTTGCAAACGGGGATCCAGAGTGCCAGCAGGGAGCGTGGCGCATTTGTGTGCGTGCGTGCGTGTGTGTGTGTGAAAACTCTTGCACACTTGGCCTGATTCAGCCAGGAAGTGTGCTGAGGCCGTTTCTGCCCATGCTCAGCACAGGTCCTGCCAAGGCCGGCCTGCTCAGGAGTAAAGGAAGGGGCAGAGAAGGTGTGGTGGAACCCGCGAGGAAGAGAGGAAGGCAAGGATCCGGAGGGGATGCAGACCCCCGGTTCTGAAAGAGACGCAAGCAGGTGTCCGAGCCAGGCTGGACGGAGACCGGGGTGGCGCTTGGAGGAAGCGCAGGAGAGCCTCTGACCTGGCTCTGCAGGGCAGGCCGTGCTGGAGTGTCCCCCAAGGGCCCCTGTTCACATGCCTTCCTCGCCCAGAGCGGGGAAGCGCCTCCTTGTAGATCCCAGGCACTGCTCAGCCGCCAGCTGAAAGAAGAGCCATGGGGAGGAGTCGCTCTGTGGAGGCCTTGCTTTCCAGGGGGTGGAAACCTCACACCGAGGAGAATGCAGTTTGGACAAGCAGAAGTTTCGCACCATCCTCCCAGAAGGATCCTGTGATCAGCGGGTCGGCCGCTGTGTGGACAGGGGCCTGGGCTGCATGGACCGTGGGTCTGATCCGGCAGGGCTTGTCTTGCATTCTCACATGAGCAGCCCTCCTTGTCCTCTTGCCTGAGGCTTTGGAAGGCTTGCTTGGCTCCCCAGGGGCTTAAAAGCAACCACCCATTTTGCTGTTGTTGTTGTTGCTGGTTGTGAAGTCATGTCCGACCCATCAGGACCCCATGGGCAACCTTCCTCTGGGCTCTCCTGTCCTCCACCGACCCCCAGAGCCCACTTGAGCTCCCACTGACTGCATCAGTGACCCCATCCAGCCCCCTTATCCTCTGCTGTCCCCTTCCCCTTTTGCCATCTATTGTTCCCAGCATCAGGCTCTTCTCCAGGGAGTCCTTCCTTCTCATTCGGTGGCCAAAGTATCTGAGCTTCGTCTTGAGCATCTGGCCTTCTAAAGAGCAGTCAGGGTTGATCTCCTCCAGGACTGACCGGTTTGATCCCCTTGCAGTCCAAGGGGCTCGCAGGAGTCCCCTCCAGCACCACAATTCAAAGGCCTCAATTATTGGATCAGAGGATCATGGAATAGTAGAGTTGGAAGGAGCCATGAAGGCCATCAGGTCCAACCCCCTGGATCATGGTGCTGTTGCTAGTCATGAAGTCGTGTCCGACCCATCGCCACCCCATGGACAACACTCTTCCAGGCCTTCCTGTCCTCCACCCACCCCCGGAGTCCACTTAAGCTCAAGCCGACTGCCTCAGTGACTCCATCCAGCCCCCTCATCCTCTGCTGTCCCCTTCCCCTTTTGCCATCTATTGTTCCCACCATCAGGCTCTTCTCCAGGGAGTCCTTCCTTCTCAGTAGGTGGCCAAAGTATCTGAGCTTCTCGAAAGGCAAACATTTTGCGATCTCAGTAGTCCAAGTGTAAGGCCCAACCGCTGAAGAGGGTGAAGTTGAACTGTTCTGTGAAGGCCCTCAACACCTTCTCCAATTTGCACCAAAAATAGTGTCTGTTCCATCGTGGGGGCTGGGAATGCTAAAGTGGGAAGCCAAAGATGACCTGAATAGCAGGTAAGGCTGGCATTGCAGTACAAAATGAAGCAGGGCGCAGCTGGTATGATTTCATCAAGGCATATGATGGTAAGAGCAAACACTCTTTTGCAACAAGCCAAGAGACGACTCTACACAAGGACATCCCCAGACAGGCAGCACAGACATCGGATCAACTATGTTCTCTGCAGCCACAATGGAGAAGCTCTATAGAACCAGCAAAAAGAAGACTAGGAGCTGAGTGTGGCTGAGATGATGAGCTTTTTGCAGCAAAAAATGGGATTAAAATGGAGAAAGTAGGGAAAAGCATTGGGTTACTCACGAATGTCCTGCATCATTTCCCTGATGAATGTAGAGTAGACGTGCCAAATGGATTTTAGGAATGAGATCTGAGAGGCAGAGAGCCAGAAGAACTATGGAGGGATGTTCGCAACGTTGTTTAAGAGGTAGCAAGTTCAACCATCCCAAAGAGAAGGAAATGCAAGGAAGCAAAATGGCTGTCTGAGCAAGCTTTACAAATAGCTGAGGAAAGAAGGGGAGCGAAAGGCAAGGGAGAAAGGCACGGCCTCTTCCAGATCCAGTATTCCATTATTTGATGATCATATTATCCAGGGGGTTCGACTTGATGGCCTTCATGGCCCCTTCCTTCTCTCAAATTGCATGCTCCAAGAGGCTGGACTTGATGGCTTTCGCGGCCCAAATCCTGCAATTCATGGTTCAATGATTCCGACTCAGTAGGAGCAAAGAGGGGTCAACACCTGGTCGGATGGGCCTGATTTCCTCTGAACAACTGTGTTTGAGAAGGGTCCCCAGCACGGAAAACAATGTCCACGCATGGGAATGCGAATTATGGGTTAGCGAGCAGAGTGGGGGAAGGGTGACTGTGGCGGTCGAAATAGCGAAAAGGGGCTAGCACTTCTTCGGTGGAG